TCGGTAACGGAAATGATAAAAATAACCATAAAATATAGTATAATCACAACCACTACAATGTCACTACCCTACCGTCATTCCTGTCTATTGCTAATGGGTTGCTTTCGTGTCACAAATATTTTGGTATTGTCAAGCACGAGTGACCGCTGGAGCGCACTGAGTGACCAATTTTATGTCCTTTGCTGTCCCAAATGGAAACGTTCAGGATGAATTTGGTCACTCATGAATGTTTCAGTTTAGACTTACTTCTATAGTTCTGCGTAGCTACAATTTTGGAATGCATTTTCGTCTTGCTGGCGGTAGTTGCAACCATACCGTTAGATCTTGAGGTTGCACTGGAAAAATATTGGAAAATGTTGGAAAAATATTGACGCAATATTCATCCCACAAGTGTCCAAATGGGACGACAATGTGTAGAAAAAGCGGTCGCTGTTGACTCACTAATTGTTACTCCGGCGGAGATATTTCGGTCACTCGTGTTATGCGAGCCACTCTCCATTTAAGCGAAATGCCGGTTACGCAAGTCCACACCAAGTTTGGTTGAGTCTATCCTTCGACCCCAATCATCGTCTAGGTTCGGAACCTTTAACGTCTGGACACTTATGCAAAGCTGGAAACAGGCCGGTTTGGTACATACTCTGAATTTCGTCGCTATTGATATCTTTTGCCTTTATAAAACACCGTTTATATTAAAATCTCCAACCATTCTAGAAGCTAAGAACAACGTATTCGCTGGCGACGCAGAAGCAGCTGCAGGTGATTTGGCTTTTGTTACCGTGTCATTAGGTAGCAAAGCCACGGCCGCATTTCTGAATAGGTTTTTGGACAACAGCCGACTGTTTGCAATGCAAATCTAAACTTCCTATAGAGATAACTCGCTTCTACTATGATAACCCGTTTGTTATCTCCCATTATAAGACAGATAGCTGGTACTGTGCAGCAGGTACAGATGGTCTCTATAAAGTTCTTCATCAGCAGTTATTGAAAGCTGCCGAACAGTAGGTTGTTGTCTACGTAGCATAAAACAACGTTTTTAATAAACGATTAGACGACATTCTATCCTATTTTACTTTACGTGCATAGTTCACTCCCATCAAAAAACGAATTAACAAACTGTGCTCAGCAGCCGTCTCCGTTAATTAGCGGTCAACACACCAGCATGTTTACATGCGCATAACTCGGTGAGTCATCTCAAACCAGCAAATTCCCTTTTTCCTGTCACTTTAAACAATCCTTTTCTAAGAACCACTCCAGTCATCCTGCGGGACCTGTTAAGCGATGCATTTTGCCCGTTATAAATCATTTTTAACTTTGCACCACCTTTTCATTTAGTGCTTTAATTGTTGTCTTGTGTCCACCATGAATAGCTCATCCGTAAATAAGTACAATATAAGAACCCTTCTCTTGTACCATCTACCAGAGTCCATACTTAGCCCCCTGAATGTTATCCCTGGCTTTGTTCTGTGTGTTGCAAGAAAGTGAATTCCACTGGTCACAAAAGGAATGCGAAACCATTCGTCTGTGTCAGTATGCGTCTACATACAGATCATACTCCTACCACTGCTCTTGTCCGCGCGTTATTAGCTCCTCAAGATCCATAAAGTTTTGCAGCCATCGAAGGGTTTGAAAAGCGAGTTGTACCAGAAATCTTTCCAGTCAATTAAGGCCCTTCATGTTTTAAGAAAAACACCGGAGTAAGCATTTCATTTCTTCTGGTGCACTAATTCCTTTCTTTTCAGTTAGGACTGCTAAAACTGTAGGGTAAGACTCTTTCCATCCCATTTGGTCCTTTCTGCAAAATGCGACTACGGGCGCCTGCTCAGTCGCATCCTTGTCTAAAACGAATTCATTGGCCGATAGTGATGGGTCAGGGTACATTAGCCCAGGTTACGCGCTGAGTGGCTCACAGAGTCGTTTGAATGCTCTTTAGCATTCCGTAGGGCATTCTTTCGTAAAGTGTGCTTAAGAAAACGGTAATCATGGAAAAGCTTTTGGTAAGTCACCTATAATATAAGGCCAACGCGAAAAAAGTTAGGCAATTGTTCAATGCTTGTACCAGTCAGACAAGACGTTACTTGCTTCATCTTATGTCTACGTTAGAATGCTTGACGCCCGGATTAAGAGTCATACATATGCGATTTCTTCCTCAGTAAATGACACTTCGATGATTTGACCCACATGGCCCCACTTGATTAGACGTTTCGCTACTTAGTTTAGATTTTTCAGGCTCTTTTACATTTTTGCTTGCAAGATAATATCGCCCGTGCAAAATCGGCAATTCCGTGGGATCAGTTCGTGCAGTATCTTTTCCTCAGGCACTGCAAAGTCGCAAAAGCGTTGGATGATCCAAACGACATAGTTTGGAATATGTACAGGCCAGATATCTCGACGGGGACATCATTCTATAGTTTGCTCCATGCATCATTCACCCAGCAGTAACTGGAAGGAAGCACGACCACGTGTGGTGGAAAATGTTGGGCCACCAAGTGCTCTGGACGAATCGTCAATACTTAGGAGTGGAAATCGTGTTGCCTAGTTACCGGTTTGAGATGTCTGTATTTCACCCACAACCGGTGGCCACCAATAATTTTCTTCACGAGAATATTGGGTACTTCCCTTGGGAAGGATGAGGGCCAAACGATATCTTTCTTTAAGATGCCATCTATCATCATCTGCAACTCACGTTGCTAGTGAGCTAGAATCAATATCGATGGAAGCTCACCGATTTGAATCTCGTAATTTCCACCTTTTTCACTTATGTTGCTTGCTTCCATTTCCTATCTTGTTACTGCTAATATTCCCGCACTCTGACCGAAAAACCTCCTTTTCAGCGTGCTTGTTTATAGGGTAGTTCTGAAGGTCTCAATTTTCTATCTACTATGGTTCTGAGATAAATTCATTACATCTAATAACAGTCACGATGGTCGTTGCCGTCTCCCGTCTCAACGAAAGACTGGCAAAAGTCCAGTAGAGGAGTCGAGCACCACAGAGGTCAGATGGAACGCGGATTGCTGAGGAATCCCAACTGGATGAAGTAGTCGTACAGTGCTTTTATGGGCGTGTGATGTTTGTCTGACCGTGTCTAGATGTGACGAATTTCTTCCTATAGTATTCAACTCCCTTTACTATTTCCTTATAGTACCAGTTCACTCAAATGAAACTCCACGAAAGTTTTAAATGATTTTTCCTTTAATCACTATTATACCCGCTGCATATTTACAATGAAAATATGGATTTTGCGTCTGCTTTTATATAAATGGATTCTTGTGGTTAATAGTTATTGGTGTATTCAACTTATTAGTCCGTCTTGGGAATTATCTCTGTATTTTCGCTCCGACAACACCAAAACTTACTTTTTATGCACGTTTACACATGCATGGATTGTTTATCTTTTTTAATATTCACGAGTCAAGAATGTGCTTTATACACCAACGAAGAGTACACTTTCATCTGCAACACATACGGTTTGAGCACGATAACGTATGCCACATTTGATCTTAGAAACAAAGGGACAACTGACACGCAACCATATATATGATTGGCGGCATCCGGTTTCGGATCTGCCTGTCACTGTGGCCAGCCACAGGACGCCTGCGCCCACAGAGGGACCATGGATGGCTTGCGCTGCACCACCCACAGCTCCAACCACACACCCCATATCCAGTGTAAACCCGAGGGATAAGACCGAGAGGCATGTGGATGGGAAACACGTTTCATCAACGGAGCGGGCCCACACTCCTTCACAGGCAAACACAAGCACCCTGTGTTTGGGGAATCAAGCGCACACAAGGCGGTGGCTGGACTGTAGCCCGCTCCACACTGAGTGCATGGAACCGCTCTTCGAGCCTTGCACGCCCACAAAGACTGTGCACTCCGTCCCCTCCAGCAACGACCAACTGTCTCTTAGAGCCAGTATGGACGAGGTAGTGGGTAATAGACAGGTAGGCACCTTGTCAACATGCACATCAAGAGCAGCCACACAAGAATATATATATATATATTTATATATATATATATATATATATATATATCAGTTTGCACACCTGTGTTCTCCAAGATTTCGATGTACATGCGGATGCTCTAGGATTGACTCCCACCCCTGTCTAGGGTTGTTGTGTAACAAGTTTCTTTCCAAGATTGGTAAAGGATGATAAATATTTCGTTTGTGGCATCAAGACATCAGGGAATTAATCCTATGCATCCCATGGAGGCTTTGAATCATTCATGCATGCATTCAGCGATGCAAGATTATGCGTTCTGATGACGTTGATTGTTCAGTATTTCTCTGTACAAATTACTGAAGTAAGCAACGCTATTTCAACTTTCATTTCGAAACTTGTTTCCACTTTATTAATAGCAATAACCCGTGATCGAGTTGAAATCGGTCCGTTGCAAATGCTTGTAACTTCTTTATCATACCACTCCCTACGTGTCTCAGGGAAACTGCAGAGATTAATCTTGTTTCCTTTATTTCGTTCTCAATTATATTAGCAGAGATGATAAACGTTGTCGAGAGTAATTCTGTGCAATCACAATTTTTTTAATATAATGACGCAGTTGTATGTAATTTGGGGCTTGTCACATTGCACACGTTATTCTGCCCACATATTTTAGGAAATTCCTTAGGTCATACACTTGAGGAAGACAGATTTCTCCACTATGACAGACCTTAGCTATCAGATGATAAAAACTGCAAATGAAGCAAGGGAGGCGGTTCGTTGAGTTGCTTTTAGCAAACTGGTAGTTCTGCTGCAGGAAGAACAACGAATCGTCAACCGGAAAAAGGATATTCTTCTCTTAGTAATGCACTACCTTAACGAAGAGGGGTATGCTGCTCAAAATGATTATAGTTCTCCTTACAGGTATATGGACTCTGCCATTTCTTTAGCCAAGGAAACTAACTTGGACTTCCGATTGTACGAAGTGTGCGATAACATTGATCTGGAAACTATATTGATGGAATATGAAAGTTATTACTATGTTAAATTTCACAAATACCCCAGAATTACGAAACGGAAACAAGGTCGGCTATTTCGGTTCGTCTACAAGCTTCTTTGCTACAGTTGCGAATTCGATAAAGGCTGGAAAACTGAAAGAATTAGTACAAGGAAAGAAGTAAGTCCGAAACGTTATAGCAATTCACTCAAGCTACGAATCTGAAGACGTCAAATGCTACCGGTGATCACCTCCCCTAAACACCCTGTGAGCGGCCTTCCGAAGCCACAACTACTTCCAGGCGGAAAAGGAGCGGAAGTGCACGACTCAATACAAAAGGTAGGAAGATGCTACTAAGATAAAAACCATGCAGGTAGTGTACACTCCTCAGCACTTTGCTGATATGGAAGCGCAAACCCATTGTGAGTGACCACAGATGATTGTTTGCTAATTTTTGCTTCGGCTAGGCCAGTAAATATGTTCAGGCTTTGCTACTGAAACGAAATTTTTCTCCACTTAGACAAGACTCGTGTGCACATTGGCCCAAAAGCACACCCCTTAAGGGAAACCAGTGTAGTCCTTTTGATCACATTGTGTGGCAGCGATAACCTAATGCAGAACCACTAGTTTAACGTTCGCCGGTCGAACGTTGAATGACGCGTAGCCAATGATTCCGAAATCAGAACAAACTTCGATCGCAATGTTTACGGTACTATAACATGATATGCGGCTAAGAAAAGTAAGCAAACCTCAATAGTTCAAAATCCCTGTAAATCACCGTCAATGAAATGATGCAATCAACCAATGGAACAATGGTATATTGCGGTCAAAAAACGCGGATGTTCAGCATGCACCGTAGGATGGCCAGAAAGAGAACCACAACATGGTGAATAGAAAACAAAGGGATAAAATGAAAATCGTTTTGGTGGACTCACGACAGTGTTAACACAAAGGCACGCAGAAAGAGCCAACTATACTTGTTTAGGTTATTTCTGCTTGTGGCAAGTTCGTCGCATTATATCGTTTGTCGAGACACACAGGCTGTCTCGTAGTGTAGGTGGGTTATGGCAACATGAAGATCATATATAAACACAGCTGAAATGGGGGCGGAAACAACGTAATTTGGGAGCGAGTTCCAAGGCTGACACACACGAAGAGAGTAAAAGTTCCGTCGACATCCTAGCCGACTGATTTGCATGGTTAACTTGTCTTCGTGGCCCCACAGATTCGTGATGTGGCTCAGTTATATTAGGTGTCGGCAGATGTGGTTGGGGTTCCTTATAGTCCGGTAGACCATAATAAGGGCGCCACGTAGGCGCCGGTACCGGCCATTATATAATTTTAGGGTCCTCAGTCTAAGTTGATAAGGAAGATTGAAGAACCCTTTGATGTGCTTCGTGGCTCGTCGCTGTGGAGTCCCGAGAGCTGCAAAGTCTTGTGTGTGCCAGGACTGACACAACTGGATCGCGTATTCCACATAAGGCCGCACGTAGATGTTAAGCAACTGCAAACAGATAGAGGGATGAGACCGCCCAAATGCCCTCCGCAGCATACCAACGTGCTGGTTCCGGGTCTCTGATGCCTTCTCAGATTGTTCCGAGCAGCCCAGCCCAGCCTGGACTAGTACCCCCAAAGTCGCGCTCCTGCGTGACTGCTTACAGGACATGATCTCTAAGCTTGTATTTGGTGTTCGGCTGTTGGCGAATGTGAACCACCTTACACTTCAGCAAATTGAACTGGAGCAGATTGTGGAGTTAGCACTCATACGCTTTGTCCAGGTCTCGGTGAAGTGCTTCGTGATCTTCTAGGTCCTCGATCGTTCGCCACATCTTGACCTCATTAATGTGCAGCAAGCAACCTGAAACAATCAAACGCGAAAGCTCGTTAATGAACACGAGAAACAGAAGCGGCCCCAGAACGGATCATTGTGGAATTCCACATTCGACAAAAATCGGATCAGATAGCGCACTTCGAACTCTGACCTGAAATTGCCGATCCTGCAGGAAAATTCTGATCTGCCTAAGAACAGGATCACCAACTCCATAGCTTTCAAGCCTGTGAGGCAGAATACGGTGGTCCAGTTGGTCCAAGCCTTTGAAGAAGTCGAGGCAAATGACGTCTGTCCCTCTGCCTGTATCGGCCGCTTTCGTCCAGCTACTGCGTGCAATCAATAAGTTGGTGGCGCATGAACAGTGCTGGCGGAAACTGTGTTGCTCGGGTGTTATGACGTTGTGGCGTTTTCGATGGTCTACTAACGCCTCAGCGATGATTGCCTCCATCACCTTTGAGAGCACGGGGGTTTGGACCACTGGGTGATAGTTGGCGGGTTCCGAGCGATTACCGCTTCTGAAAATTGGAGTTTTTACACCATGTTACCACATGGTAGGCACAAGTAGTTTATCCAAGCACGTTTGGATGAAATGCGATAATGGCCCAGCCAGCGTTGTTGCTGATGCGTTCAGCGCCCTTAGGTGAATTTAGTCGATTCCGGGTTAGCTGTAGGTGTATAGTGACAGTAGTTTCTTCAACACAGCCGTAGCAGTAAAATCGATGTTATTGAGTGTTGAAGTTGGGGATAGGGATGTGGGTGACACTGGTGGACGTCTCTTTGGAAGGTTGGGGCATACTGCATTCGTAGGGAGTGGGCTGTCTTTTCTACACTCTGTGCCACACCGACTGGCGTGTTAAGTAGGGGGGGTACTGAGCTTCACGTTCTAGATGGTGTTCACATGTTTGTATAAGAGCTTTTTGTTGTTGGCAAATTTACAGGCCAAATGTTGTTGCTGAGTCAATTTGTCCTCACGGACAAATCGCATGGGGTTGGGGGAATAGCTGACGAAGCCACTGCTCAAAGTAGTAACAGAGGACAAATGAATGCATAACGAATATGTAAACTCTTACCAAAGTCACAGTAGCCAAACATTGACGGCCAAATCACAGAGTGCAGAAAACGTTAGAGGTGAAAGTAAAGCACACCCATACACACCTGAGAATCGATCAGCGTAGGTGGTAGCCTATGTTACGGTACCATACAGATAACGATGTCGGGTCAGGTACACGGGGCATCTGTTGCAATGGACACAAAGTAAAATGAAATCATCGTTAGAGATGGGAGGGAACTGAGGGCATAAATACGTGGTGAACGATTAGGCAAAGGTGTGGCTGTATGGAACAGTTAGCAATGCAAACACACCGGGGGGGAGGTAAGATAGGTTGATAGAACATCTTAGTTTTTTGAGGACACGGATCATTATATAGTAAGTCCGACGGATTAAGGTTAATTAACGCAATCCAAAATGGGTAATACGTGTCTTGGACGCACCGTAACGCGCTTATGATGAACCATCTTCATTTGGTTTGTACCTGTCAGCCAATAACCTTCAAACGGACGTACTGCGTATAGTGGGCGTGTGCAGACACAAGAATTCCTCTCTATCCTTAGATGTGAGGACGTATGGTCTGCTTGACAGACCAGTGGGATCACCTGAGTACAACATTTAAAGCTCGTCGTGGAGCAAGCAGGCAGGCTAAATTAGTCTTTATGGTCGTCGAGCAGAGTGAGGCCCAGATAGGGACATTACACTGTCCAGTAATCGTTAGATGCCAGATACTTTCGCTCTAAGCGCGGAAGGTCATGGCCAAACGTAGGCACTAGAACGATCAATATCTATCGATCTGTCTCACTGAGTAAAGCGAAACAGGCATGCAAAAACGAGCTCCCAACAAATCATTTTGGCGAAATAAGCACTACCGCCAATTGCGTTGTAGTGGCAATAAGCAGTGGTTACACGTGGGTAGTTGGCCAATTGCTGTGCCAACTACAGCGGCGAATTTACTGGAGACTTAAGATGCGGCATGATGTGAGAGAACAGTGAACGTAATAAGAGGAATTGTTGTGTTATTTGCTCCAAAGCTGCCCTCCACCGCTGAGTTCAGCTCTGTTTGCAATAATCGGCAAGATAGATGGAGTTGGTGAACGATCCCTGACGTGGTACATTTCCAACAGCCCCCTCTATTCCAATGTTACCGAGCCAGGCAAACAAATCTAAGTGCATCAGTTCTGAAATCACACCTGTCTGTTGCTCGGTTTATGTTCTAACATGGCAACTAAATTCGGGGGGCAGTGGAAATCACCATGGATGACGGTTGTTTGGATGGTTGTGGCCCAACTTAAGGTATTTGCGTTTTCGTTCGCTATCTCCTCTTCTGTTAATTGGCAGTTCTATTTTATGTTTGCTGTACTACGTTTTTACTGTCTGCTACAGTTTCTATGGCGCAATGGAAACGGTCTTACTTTAGTTTACTTATATCATACAACATTTTAGGTGCCACTATGAGGATAGTACGCACTGTGGCTAGTCTGCCAGAATATCTTCTCGTGGTGGTAACTGGGCGGTTCAAGCTCGCCCGGTTTTAGCGAAGTGTTTACCAACAAGGCCTCAGGACATGGTGGGTTTCACCTGCAAGTATTCTTCTTATGAAAAGCTGTAAATGTTTGTTAAGAAAGCTGTGACGCACCGGATGTCACTCGCTACTAAACAAAGTCAATGAAGCTTGCTTCACTCCGGTGAAGCATTGAATTCCAGCTCCTTATTTCTGAGATTATTTAGAGGGTTATGACCTTATCTAATATGTTACCAGAAAAGGTGTAGAGACTGGGGAATCACTTGCCGATTCATAGCTGATTACTGTTGCCATGATTATTAGCCTGATGCTGACGCTGGAGACAAAAGCGCTGGCTCAGCGGCTCCACTTCAGCATCAATCTCTGTTCCGTATGAGCGGTCCCCCCTGCGACAAAGAAACGTCATTGAGTGAAACGAAAATTACGCACCAAACGACAACCTAGGGTACGTTTCAGAAAAATTTTCTATTCAATGCAAAACCGCTACAATTTGTCTGAAAATAGCAGAGTTTATCTGTAGAACGGAGTTGGCTATGTTGCATTATAATCCTTTAAATGACCGCACACGTGTGCACGCATCTTGAGCAGCGACTCTCACAAGTCCTCAGTTAACGACCGTAGCGTGTCCATTGGGATGTTAGAGACGTGGAAATATGGCGACTGGCGCGCTACTTTTCATGTTCCTCCACTACGTTCACTTGCTACTTTTTCATCAACGTTTAAAGCTGTTCTTCTGCTGGCGTCATCTCTGGTTCACTTTCATGCCAATCTGTCTTCAGCCCGTTAGATGTTTGCTTCTTCTATGCTTTTCCTTTGGAAGCAGCCCCTTGTCACTCTCTCATATATCAGCGCGAACTGAAGCAGACACATATTAATTCAAAGGTTACATACCCATACCTATGCCATAGGTGTGCAACCGCGATGGACTGAAGCTA